AATGTCATAGATATTTTATAAGGAATCGCACGACCCTCAACATTCCGGCTTTTACCGGGGGCTCTCGACAATAATCTACCCACGTAGAAATTCAAAAGATGCATCATCATCATCAGTGCCCTCATTTTACTCACTGTTAGCACGCGTTATATTTTCTATAACTTATTACTAATTTTCACAGATAAGTTGAAAATGAAATACTAGTCGGCGTGAGAATGTAAGCCTGATCGTCACGGGAAATGGACTTAGTCACATGCAAATTGATAATGTAAATACAATACTACAACAGTGGATATAACTTCTTAAATTTTTGGATATTTCTTGGCGAAATGGATATTTTAAACACAAAAATACATTTCTTATTATTTGTATGGCTAATTAGTTGGGTAAATATTAAGTAGTAAGTGCATTGAATGATTAGAATGAGAATTGTAAAAGTCGAAGCAACCCATTTCATGTCTTCCCAGGACGTTCGAGAATCCCATACAAAGTAGAACTCCAGAATTTAAAATAGTGAAGCAGAGAGTAGTAATAGCTGCCACGAGGAAGAAAGTCCCACGAAGAGCTGTCTGGGAAGGTTTGCACAAGGCCGATGCAACAAAAAAAGGATAGTCACTGGGCGGTCAGTGGTTGTCACGCGTTGGTAATTTACAGTTTAGAGTTAGTTTGGAGAAAACTCGGCCTAAGATTTTCCGCCATAATTAAACGATTAATACGCGAACCTTTGTCGAAAATCTATGTTTTAAATCAAATATTATCAGCAGCAGTTTCTTATAAATAGATAATTAATAAGCAATAGAATTAAAATATCGATATTTTACTGCTGGATATTGGTATAGATTATAGATATCTAGGATAATTTTGTTACCTGCCTATTTTATAACTATTTAAATCTATCAGCTTTATCTAATTTCCACCCTAAACACAAACATAACTAAACGATTTAGAGTGAAGAATAAAACAATGATGACGATGATATAAACTCATTCTAATAGAGAAAACACTTTAAAATCTGGTTTTACAATTTAACAAGAAAAATTTGAGGTTAAAGAAAACATGTATTTCCATGACGAGGTAAGGCTAGGTGTAAAATACAAAGATATATAAATCTTTAGGGATAAAAATTTAACATTGCAGTCCTATCAGTTTTTACTGGCTTTAATGTGTCATTCAAGTCTACTTTTTATCTATGAAAAGGGAGATGTTGTGTAACGTTAGCGTGAACGGTATCGCAAAATTGATCGAAATAAGGCAGATTTAACGTAACGCTATCTGAAGTATCTTCCTATGTAATTTGTAATACAATAGCATGCTTATTTAAGGGTGACGGTAAGTCAACAAAGTAAGTTTTTTGTTGGTAAATAGTATATATATATGTATGGAGAAATATAATAAAATGGTTTTCATTACTCCTAAGAACTTATGTACCCTTGGTATTTATTCCAACATTAAAACATTTAGCTGTATTATTTACATACAAGCAGGTAGACAGAAATACAGTAGTTGTATATGTACATTTTTTCCGTCAATAATGCCACAGGAAATGTGTAAAGACCTTTTGGCTGAACCACTTAAACATAATTTAAAAGCTAAATTCTAAGAGGTATAGAATGTGGTTATAATGGGTATGTACATGGTTAACTAACTGCTGTTATATTTCAATTTTTCCAAAAATTGCTAAGCTCAGCGCAAAGCTTTTTTTTCTTTTTTGACACTTTTCGTCCTCAATTTCATTTAAACCAAACTCGCCCCGAATCGCCAGCTAATTAATGTTTACTTTGTAAGTTAGATTTTCTACATCTATCAGGTCTTCGGCATTTGGCCAACTATCGTCGGCAATCGAGAGATAATCCATAACATCCGTGAACGGTGCCTTTGTTTACCAGAATGCGAGGTACGATTACAACATGAACTACTACCAACTTTCCAGGAAACTTAGCTTTAGAGGCAAAAATCCATTATGCAAAAAGCCTTCGAATAATGTCAACGTTATTTCAAAGGTGTTAAATATAACAGATGGGCTTGAAATATAGGTATAGGAAACGTTATGCAAAATCTCTCTATTTCATGAAAAAAATGTATATATATATAAATATGAAAACGACAAATGACATACTGGGCGTAAAAATTCATATTAGGTTAAATAAGGGAAAAATGTTTCTAAATCCTGTTGAGTTAATGGGGCATGTTTTAATATAGTGTTTCAAAAGAAAACGTCCGTTGACATAACATCAAATTTCACGTGACTCTTTTGGAATATAAATATTTAAAAAAACGTTATTTGTTCTTTTGATAAGGGACGTACGCAACGGTACAGCAGCTTTCCAGAGAGATGCCAGGTGAAAGCAGGAAGGGAGAAGTGTGCGTTATCTGTCCACTTATCCTTTTAAACGAAAATGTTTTGCTCTGGGCCCCTTTTTACATCTGATCTTTTATCGAGAGCGGTTCATCGTGGTCGAGTACGTGAAAAATCGATTTGGAAAAACATGTGAATATGCGATGTACCTGGCGCCGCAATTACACAGGAGACGTCGCTTCTCACCGCCTATTGTATCAAGGGCTTTCAAGTGGTTTCAATGGGTCGGAGAGCAATAAGAGCCTATCGCCGCTTTCTAGAACGACGAATAATAGGAGACGTCGTAGAAGGAAAAACTATCGTTAAATAACACCAGAAGAAGTAACACTTTCTTCTCAAAGCATTGGTGTTTTTAACATTTTTCAACCATACACCCAATAATTACTCTGTTTAGAGGATCAAAGAGGAAGCTTGGGACAAAGTCGATGTCGCTGGAAAAAACCCAGTTGAAAAGCTTACAAAGCTTTGAACATTGATTCGACGTTCTCCCGTGTTAAAGGCGTTCTCGCGTCCCTTTTTGTTTTTAACCTTTTCGAGGAAGGTCTTTTAAAGAAAATTGTCTTCCTTTTTGGTTTGGTGATCACGAAAATAAAGTAGTAAACCTAATTTTCAATAGGGATAAGTCTGTATAAATAATTAAATGAGAATCCGATGTAAGGTCAAGAAAGAAGGAAGTACCTGTTACCACTTGCAAAGCTTTCAGCCTTATAATCTTGAGGGCAGTATTGCACCTTAGAATGCGTGTAATTAGCACAAATGGGTTAAGTTCAATTTATAGTGGGATATTACATGGTGGCCATTCATTTACTGACTTAAGTGATTTTAATATATATATATATGTATATATATTATTATTATTATACATTTGAAAAATGGCAAAAAGGAGGGAAAATCGAAAGGTGATGATATCTTGGGTGCCAGGGCACAGGGGAATTCTGGGTAACGAAGAAGCAGACAAACTGGCCAGAGGAGGATCTGCAAGACCATACATAGGCCCCGAACCTATCCTTGGGATAACAAAAACAAACAAAGAATCCTCTATCGCAGAATGGATCCAAACAAAACAAAGAGAGAAGTGGATAAACTCTAGCGGTGCTAGACATAGTAAACTTATGCTGAAACAACCCTCACCATAATTGGCAAAAGCACTGCTAATTGGAGAGGGCAAAACTCAGAGGAGTGGTGGGACTACTAACCGGTCACTGGTATCTGAGAAAACATCTACACAACATGGGTATATACAATAATGATCCCATTTGCAGATTATGTAATGAGGAGGAAACAGCCACTCATATCATCTTCGAATGCGAAGCAACAGCTCAATGGAGGTTTAACCTAACGTACGAAAAAGACTCAGGGAACCAAATTGCAGCAATAACAGTCAATGACCTGATACTTCTGAGAAGAATGATTGAGTCTATTGACTAAACTAGGGAACTGGGAAGGTACAATAAGCCAGAAGGCTGCAGTGCCTGGGGAGTGCAGGCCCCGCTTCCCAGCATCCCTTCCGCCGTACCATACCATACCATACCTGCTATCACTTGCAAAGCTTTCAGCCTTATAATCTTGAGGGCAGTATTGCACCTTAGAATGCGTGTAATTAGCACAAATGGGTAAAGTTCAATATATAGTGGGACATTACATGGTGGCCATTCATGATGACTTAAGCGATTTTAGTATACATATATATTATTATACATTTGAAAAATGGCAAAAAGGAGGGAAAATCGAAAGGTGGGTTGAGATGGGAAATGTCCGAGTGGATCGAAGTCACGATAGCTCAAGCGGTAGAGTAGCGGCGTAGTTAGCCGAGGGTCATGGGTTCGAATCCCACTCGTGACACTGACTTTCTATCCCAACCAATACCGTTCATATAGATTAATTAATTGAAAGTATTCGGTCAATCGGATCACGAACACTAATGGATTTATTATTATGAATTTTTAAGAGCGTTTTAATGGCTATAAACTTCTGACACCAACATTCACTCATAAACTAATCTATCCTACTGCCATCCAAAGCATTAATTTATCCTTTTAAAATTCTTAATTTGGAAGACCAAATATATGCAAAAATCACTTATGTTATTGTATATAATATATTCTTGCTTATTAACTATTTAATTGGATTGCAGTTTATGTTATGTAAAAAGATAGTTAAACTAGTGCGTTAAAAGAGGTTTATAGCTAATAATTTACTAAGATCTATGAATGCAAAGGAGTGGGAAAGTTGGTTAAAAGCTCCCTCCCTGTACAGGATATAAACTGAACCTGAGAAAAACCTCACACTAGACATTGTTGTTTTTACTACTTTTACTGTCTGTGATATTATATAAATCTATTCTAGTAATTTTACAGCTGGAAAAAAAAGTGAAAAGGTTTTCAGTGTTAACATTAAAATAAAAGAATTGAAGTTTACCTAAGGTCTTATACTACATACTAAAGGTCAGTAAGTACAAAAATGTGTGTCTTGTTCTTACACACACACACACACACACACGCACGCCCGCACATATTTGATGTTAAATTGGCCAAAATTAAAATATGTAATATATCCTTTTGTAGAGCCCTGAAGAAGGTACAATAAAGTTGTATGTAAGATTTAAAATTACATATATACAAAGAATATCTTTCTTTGACCACATCCCTGATAACAACCAAAAGAACCTTAGAATTGAAATACATTGTACGCTTTGTATGGTTGGCAGTATATTTTCGGAACTGAAAACTGTTCTTACACATGGAATTTTGCGTTAACAGTGGTGGAAGTAAAATTTCTCGGATAAACAAAAAATATGCAAAATGATAAAGCTAAGAATCTTTTTAGACAGGTCTAGTTGTTAATGTATAAATAATAACACTTACGACTTTCAAAGTATTGTGGATTTAAAAGGCTCACCTGTAAAAGAAAAAAAGGGCTAATTAGTATAACGAAATAACAAATAGTTACAACAGAAAATCTCTAAATTGTGTTTCTTTTTTTTCATTCAAAAATTAGCTTTCCATTTTACTTCCAAAACGCATAACTATTGATATAAAGAAATGTTTTACTTGGAAGAGAATTAGGCAGCCTATTACATATTACCGTCAGATTATTAAACAATCTTTTAACTGATTACTAATTACTCACACTTTATTATAGAGCTGACAACGATAAAAATAACGAACTTTATATGGATCACGATATGATTATTCACTTCCTCTTCCGCACCGGACTGCATATTGAGTTCGTTAGGGATGGCCTGATTTCATGGATTCACGTCTTGAAGTAGGAAAAATGCATCCGAAAGTACATTAAACCATGACCACTTTCTTACGGTACGATGTATATCACATAAAGACTTCAATTATTAAGTAAAATTAACCAAATATAATTGGTTAAACCATGGCAGAGGATTTTTCACACTAGATTTCTGATTGACATACAATATTCACAGCTACAGATAAAATGAATCCTTTGTTTTTAGTTTGAAAAGCGGATTGGGCTGTAAATCTTTCATCGGAGGGACAATGTGCAAACTTGCGGAATTTCAACAGACAATTTCGTTTAACGTCAAATATGTTTCTAGTAAAAAGCAACAATAAAATCTCATCAGAGCGGATGCAGATTAAAAAAAAAACAACACTCGCGTTCCTATACTCAAACGAAAATTCCCTGTTTCGAATACGGTGGGATAACTGGGATTTCATTTTTTTCCTTCCCCGGCAGAATCATCCCACGCATGTTTTTTCTCGCATTCTTTTTATTTAACCCGGGGGGTTTACAGAGGGTTAGCAGGGGTTGCTCGTTAAATAACCCCGTCTCGTTTTAAAACAATTATGGCTTGGACAAGTAACCGGGTGAATTTCTTTTCTGTAGACGTGTCTCGATGACCTAGATTTTAAGAGGGCAACAATCCAACTATTCGCCTTGAGAGCAAATGTTTCTCCCTTAAAGGACAAAGAAAAACCAAAGTGCTTTTAGATTTGTCAAGGTGAAATCATCTGTGTTTAAACAAAAATCTAATCAGGAATCCCAATAACACTAATGAAAATTAGTTTTGAGACTTTCATTTTAGTTTGGGAGAGAGACGTATAAAATTTAGACGAGATTTATTACGGTAGGACTTATTTACTTTTGTAAAATACTGCAATTTAAGGACAAGAACCTTACCTTATAAATCATACTCTGATCATGAGAACAAGGCGGATAACAAGCTAATGGGATAAGCAATAAGATTTTACAAGAGTCGACATGCTTCCACCGAAAAATTTATAAATTTTTAAATTACAGATAATCCATTTTATTTAGTGGTCTATTGACCAAATTACTTCTTTCAATTAATTAATCTTTTTATGTAAGGTTTTAGGTTGAAATGAGAAAGCTAGTGCCACGAGCGGGATTCGAACCCACGATCTTCGGCTTTATACACCGCTGCTCTACCACTTGTCACGATAGCTCAACTGGTTAGAGCAGCGGCGTATTATACCGAAGGTCGTGGGTTCGAATCCCGCTCTTGGCACTACCTTCTTCATTTCAACCAAAAACCTTACATAAAAAGATTAATAATAATTAATTAAACTATAACATTAAAATTACTTGGTAAATTTTTTTTAACCAAGATTTATATATATATATATATATATATATATAAATTATTATTTCGTAATAGTATTGTCTCCAAAAGACATATCATTCAGTAAAGTATAGACATCCAGAAAGACAAAACCCAATATTTAATTGATGATGATATCATATGATTCGGATGGCGGAATTATAGAAACAACTTTGGCTGATATTGGCTTAAACCCAGCAAAAAACTGATTCGATGATGAAAAAGGACAGATCGATAGTGTAAAGACCTTTGGCTAAGGAGCCAAATATCCCATGGAGGAAGGGAATGTCAACGTTTTGGAACCAGAATCCATGGGTCTTTATAGTTCCAAGCGATTTTGAGAGGAGGAAGAGAAAGTTTACTAATATGCATATTGTTTTAGAAATGTCAACAAGACGCTGTGTAATAATCCGATAAAAATAGCCAAGTTTTCAATGAACAATTTAATTATAATAATTCAATGAGAAAGTAAACAATTTTAAACAAAAAGGGTTTATTTGAGACTTAAATTCTCAGTGTATTTGACCATATGGCCAAACTTCTGGAGTTTACTTCCTCCTAGTTGCACAATGTGAATGATAATTGATTTTTATCCTACACACATTTTTTCTCCCAAATGTTCCCCTCAATCGTTTTATTCTCTGAACTTTCGACATTTGCCCTATAATTGAAAAGCAATTCGAAATAATTTATATATTTCTTTTTATCGCTTCTTGACCGTTAATTTATTATTTTTATCTCACTAAGATAACAAGTAAACTGAATTCCAATTAATTAATTTAACGCTGAATCATGGAAAAGACGATGCAACATTAGAGATAGATAGACGGAGAAGACCACTCCTGGAGGTCAGTTGGGGTCGTGTGGTGTCCCGATTGAATTCGAGAAAGCACTTTTCACTTTCGGATTGAAGAAATAAACGACAGGAATTCTGTTTAAACGAAACCATTGACAATTAAATAATAAATCCGTGAGCAATCTATTTTGGGGAAGACTGCTACACTTTTTCAATCATAAGTGATATAGTACGCAATAAAAATAAGACATTTTTTAAACCAATTAATGGCGGCTTAATTTTCTGAAATAGCGTTTTAGTTGTTTTGTTTTTCTATTATTAGTAACTACTAGGTTATTCTATTTTCTTTTCTGCTGGATTTGTGCCATGCAGTTTTTTACAAGGTAGGGTAAAACTTTAACTTAAAGCGAGATAGGATGTAGTAATTACTTTTTGTCTTGTTCCTGCCATTTACATCGATGTTTATTTAATGTTTTTCATGTGTACATTTATGTAGCATTGAATTTTCAGTCTTTGGCACTGGCCATGCGGCTTAAAATTAATATAAAAATAAAATCACAGATACAAGATCGTCATATCTTTTTAAATCCAATGTAGATATACTAAAATAATTATTTTAATTTACACAAGATTTCTGACGATGGGTGTAAATTCCCAAAACGCCCGACATAAATAAATCCATTACGTTTTAGTGGTCAATTGCCCAAGTTACTTCTTTCAATTCATTATTCTTTTTATGTAAGGTCTTGGTTGAGATAAAAGTATCACTTCACTAAACAGCTCCCCCGCCGTGGCCACTTCAAAAGTCGCTGAGAATCGAATCTTGATTGGACTTCATTTGAAAGAAAAATGTCAAAAAGAGGGAAAATTCGAAAGGTTAGGTTGAAATGGAGAGTTGGTGTCCGAGTTGATCGAAGACTCGATAGCTCAAGAAGAGAGCGGCGTATTTAGCCGAAGGTCGAGGGTTCAAATCCCGCTCGTGACAGTGACTTTTTTCATCTCAACTAATTATTGATTTTATGTAAGGTTATACATAAAAAGAATAATTAATTAATAAATAAAGTTTTTGCTTCATTATTTAAAGACCAACCACATGGATATTTAGACCTTACATAAAAAGATTAATTAGTTAATAAATAAAGTTTTTACTTCATTATTAAAGACAAACCATATGGATATTTTGTCTTACATTATTTAACAAATTTGAATAAAACCTTAATGATTCCGTGTTGAAAAGAAACTACTTAAAACAAGATTTTTTTTTGCTTACAAGCCTCAGAATTTATTGGATTTGAATGGTTAAATTTATGATAACTGCTTGCAGGGTGCTCAATACCCATGGGACCATACATGTTGTTAATTGTTGTTTTATAGTTTGTGGCCTGTGCCTATAAAATGTTTTTTTGATACAATAATAGAAATGACACATCGGTTATCTATCTAATCAGTTTTGAGCCAGAGCAGTTCGAAGCATATCACATCCTCGTGTTCTAACTTATCAGTCTTATCGCTGTACAATATGGCATACCACATTCCTCAGTACGGTTAGAATTTTATTCCGTCTGTTATATCCTAATATTTGTAACTTATGAAGTTAAGCTAATTTGATTCTCTACTGGAACGTTGCAATCTGTGAAATGCTAACTCGTAGTTTGCGGTGTTCTTTAAGGGTCGGATTATTGCCAATTTACGGAACGTCGATGAAAAGTACTTTTGTGTTTAAGATGGCTGCGCAGATGTTACTGTCGAGAGATGAACGAGTTACTCTCGGTAACGGGAGATGACGGCGAGGTAACGGGACCTCCACCGTGTTGTACATGTTACGGCGGCCAGGAGGTGGTTGACCCTCGGCTGCTCTCCTTCTTCTTTGGTATTTTTCACCTTTCGAATCTGAATCCCGTTCTCTGAGGCGAGGGAACCGGGAACGGGCCGGGATATAAAAGGGGGTTTAAGTTATCAGGAGCCATGCCAACCCCTTCCGCGGCGCCGTTTCCTCCTAAGCCACTTCCTCCCTATTTTGCTCCAAAACCCAAATGGCAATTCTCCACGCCCATTTCATTTACCCACCCGTTAAAATAACAAATTTTTTTTTAAACAAGACATCGACTATCGCTTTGCCACAACAAAAAAAGAGAAGATAAGTGGCACGTCCGTTTGACAAAAGGGAAAGAACGCTAAGGGTATCAACGGGTATAAACCCCTTGCAAATGTTATGGAGATAACATTGAGGGGATTCCGACATCTTTTGATAACCGTACGCCTTTCTTCAACATCTGTAGAAAAACACTTAACACCGTCAACGGGATTTAACCTTTTTCTAAGAGGCTCTCACGGGCCGATCCCATACCATCTGGAAGATATCTCAAGGGTGTAAAAGAAAAGAGTGAGAGGAACGATTTCCCGTAATAATATCATAAAAGCATATTTTATCTCGGTTCTTATAAACGTGTCAAACATCTTCTGTCTAGATTACTCCTCTAAAGAAATCCATTAAGCATCATCAGCGTG